GGAGTGCTCTCTAGTACGTCTTTGCGAACATAAGAACCAGACTATATGGCAGAGGCAGGCACTCACGAATCAGACCATCTTTCCAGATAACTGCACGCCGAGCCTTTTCAACTTCTTCCGCGACACGCGCTTGCACCCGATCCCGCATGTATGAATACCAATTGAGGGCATTTCCGAACCGCCGTCGCAAAGAATGCTGTAATTTGGCTCCTCAGAACCAGGCTCCACCTAAAATAGATTGGATATGAACTCACCCGTGTCTCCAACTTGTGACCCCTTGCCCCCAAGAGTGTTTCCAATGTCGCCGTCCATGCGGTCACATTTGGAGCAATGTAAAGAAACAGTGTTGCAACCATTTCCAGCATATTGAGGTCAAAGGCGACTGACGGTTCAAGAGGTGCACATGGAAATAGACCACGAGCAAGTAGTTGGCGAGCAGAAGAGGTGCAGCTGCATACCCGGATAGTAATGCGTTCCAAGCCTGATTGTATGTTAGGCCCGAGAACGGATTATAAGAGAGACCACATACGATCTTGGTACACGGCCAACACTTCAAGATCCTTGTTATGCATATTGCAACTGCACGTTGGCGATGCGGGGTATGGTGTCGTAAGATGTGAGGTGGAGGATAATAGGTCCATGTAGGGCATGATCAACTCGGGGATGGTGACGGTCTGCCATGTGCGCCATTGATTCGCTTTCTTCCGCGCGTACTGCGCTTTCTGTCGTTCCGCGCTCAATCCTTCTTGATATTCCTCGTCTGGAAAATGAAGAGGAGACGCAAAACGAGTCGAGCGAGGAGTAGAAAATGGTGATGGGCCTGCAGCGGCCAGACCTGCAGAGGTTGATGGCTCTCCATCACGGCTCGGGTCGCCAGAATTGTTGCATGGCGTGCATTCCGGAATGAGTTCCTCGTACGCCAACCCTCCTGATGAAGATCGACCAAAGAAACTCGTTTGTATCAGAGTTCGTCTCTTGGGCAGATGCGCCACGGCAGGTAGTTGATCACGGTCGGCTCTTTGAACTCTTCTGGGCACGCGAGGCCCCTCGACAATATTCTTGCCACTTCGTTCGCGAGCTCTTGAGCGTAGGAAAGAGCGAGGGATTCCTCCAGGCATTGTCGCACTTTGTACGGTGAAGGTTAACGCTTAGCGGCTCGTCGAATGACTTGGAAATACATAATACTTGTTTGACATTATGGTACATGTATGGGTTACGTCAACTATCCATATCATATTATAATGAGGTAAATTTAATGCCTGATTCAACACATGCAGGAAACAATGACGATAGCAGCAAAAAGATCCATTCGTAATCATCCAGCACAGCAAGTGTGATAGACGGCGAGCAAAGTTCATCGAGTACCTTGAAATTGTCGTTCCCTTGCGAACACGGAAAGCGTAGGACGTCAACAATCTCCCATGATCCGACGCATCGATGAGAGACGCTGCCGACACTCATCTCGTCCAATACCAATCACCGTGTCCGTTTTTGTCGGCAGTCTTGCCTAGCGATGAACCCGAAACCTCCAAAACTGTGTCTGCGCGGTAAACGGGCTCCTCCCCAGACCTGAATCCAGAGCACGGAACTCCAGTGCGAAGCTAATATTGCGTATACCGTGCAACAAAAGGTCACCTCAACGACGTGGCCGAGCTCAACTTTGTTCGCTTGCGATAATCCTGCAGGATCGCAGGAGAGCGCGCGGCAATCGGAGAGACTACAGATCTTATGGTAAGCAACGCACGTATAGCCATTCATTCAACGCTGGAACTTACCGGAAAAGGACCGGATAGACACGGGGATACGGCGCAACAAAAGGTCACCTCGACGACGTCACTGACGTGGCCGAGCTTGACTTCGTGCACTTTCGAAAATGTTGCAGGATCGCAGGAGAGCGCGCGGCAATCGGAGAGACTACAGCTCTTATGGTAAGCAACGCACGTATAGCCATTCATTCGACGCTGGAACTTACCGGAAAAGGACCGGATAGACACGGGGATACGGCGAGACAAAAGGTCACCTCGACGATGTCACTGACGTGGCCGAGCTTGACTTCGTGCACTTTCGAAAATGTTGCAGGATCGCAGGAGAGCGCGCGGCAATCGGAGAGACTACAGCTCTTATGGTAAGCAACGCACGTATAGCCATCCATTCAACGCTGGAACTCACCGGAAAAGGACCGGATAGACACGGGGATACGGCACAACAAAAGATCACCTCGACGACGTCACTGACGTGGCCGAGCTTGACTTCGTGCGCTTTCGAAAATGTTGCAGGATCGCAAGGCAACTGCAGACACTGCAATTCAGTGGATGAGCACCACACATACCGCTCGCAAACTCACCCAATAAGCACTCAATCAAGCTAATCAGAAGCCCAAGTACACGATGGCAACAAAAGGGTACACCAAAGTAGCGTATTGAGAGGGCGCAAGCATCGCAAGAGGTGGAGACGTTGAAGGGTCACGAGGGCGTCAACGAAATGGTATTCTCACGCTTTTAGCCCATCGTATCAACGACCCCGTTGATAGCACTAGCCTGCTCGACCTGTCTGGAGTACGATACAATTGCACACAAGGGAAAAGGATGTTCGAACCCATGGAAATAACTCTGCCTTTGCCCCAATGTCTGGCCAATGTCTCTTCGTATCAGGAATGACATCCTAGCACTGGTATGGGTTTGCAGGCTATAACGAGAAGGCCTAGTGGTTACAGGTACCGGATCTTCAACGCCATGTTCCTGTCCCAATTCTTCAAAACAGCCAGCAAAGCTTTGACCCTCCCACGCAAGCGAGAATTCTCCTTCTTCAGCCGTGCATTCTCCGACACCAAGGCCTGGTATACATATCCATGATTCGATGGAGTAGGGGCTACCAGAACACAGTCATTCAGCATCAATCTGGTACGATCATGATATGTCAATACAAGTGCACCCGTATTGTCACTCAACGGCGGCATCTGGGGCCCCCCAATGTTAATGCCCGCGGGTTGCATGTCCATACCTAAATAGTGAAGCTCAGACCATCTGTCGGTAAAACCCAATGCAACGTAATTCTTACCGCCCCCGTATCTCGCTGGTGACCTGCTGGGAACCTGGATTTGTGTACGATAAGCTGAGGGTGATGGAGAGACGAGAAGGTGCCTAACGTAATAAACCTCCGGAAACGATCACGTGATAAGCCATTCCATGCTCGCGAAGATTTTGCTAAGTCCAACAATTTGCATTCCTGCAAATCGGGTGGCAACGCCGCTCCTAACGTTAGCGCCACACTACGCTTCGTGACAGCCAATGCGAGATTTTCGGGGATAGCGGGAGTGGGAGTTTTCGCAGTGAAGGCGGCGGTCTGGCGGGTTTCCTCGTTGAGGAGATGGTCGATGACGTACGAGAGGGTAAGGTGGGAAGCGTCGGTGGCGTCGAGGGAGCAAATGAAGGACTGGTAGGAGGCAGGGAGACCCATGGTGAGGACCAGGATGATGTCTTCATCGTCAACATTGGCTCTGGCTTCCTCGAGGCGGAAGGCGATGGAGCGGACGTCGGCGATCCAGTTGGCGATGATCTGGTCGGGTTTCTTCGTCATCCCCCAGAAGTGCCGGCGCAGAGCGAGGCAGGAGGCGAAGCCTTCGGTCTGGTGGACCTTGCGGAGGTTCGTCCAAACCTCGGCGGCGGTCTCGGCACGGCAGTGGGCGAGCTGTGAAGCTTCGACGCGCAAAATGATCTCGGCGCGCGCTTCGGCGTTTTTCTTCTTCCAGGCTTTGACGGCCTTCGAGTTCGCGCTATCTATCGGTATGGGCTCGTCGCCGTTGGCGTATTCCCATGGGCCCTTGCGGGTCAGGTTCGCCTCGGTGAACATACACCATTCGGCGTAGTTCGTCTCGTTGAGACTCGAATAGGTGCGTCCATCGTTGGTCATGTCGGTGCGGGAGCGTCGGGTGCAGGCGTGCGGGTATGGGTTACGGGTTTCGTCGGGTTCTTCGAGTTACGCGGGTTCGTTCGTCGGGTTCGAGTTCGGATCGTCAAGTTACGGGGTGCGGGATACAAGCGCGAGACAACAGGGCCAGGGATCGCCGAGTAAGGACTGTCGGTGATATGGCGCGTTTGTGTCAGTGTGTGAGGCGCAAGCGACACGAGCGAGAGAGGGAGAATAGCTTTGGGGGCCTCTACTGCAAACGCGCAAGGCGCGACGTACATGCGAGAAGTAGTGAGTACATAGGATGATAGGATATTGTGGGGGGAGCCATGTGAGTGCGAGGCGGCGGCAGCCGACTCTTAATCTAATCCTCCAACATATTGAACTCCCTGGTACGCATTGTGAGTATCATAGTGTGTGCTTGTGTCACTGATACCGACTAAGGCGTATGTCGAACACTTTCCCGGTGCGCATTTGGTACGAAACAGGAAGTCTAATGCGAATAATCCCAGATTCTAGGGCACCACACGGAGGGCATTTTGAACGGCTAATTGTACTTACATCTGACGAACTCGATACGTCCATCGATGAATTGGAATGCACAGTGTCTAATATGGGCACTACATTGCATATCGGCATACTTCCGCAAAATGTGTTTGATGCTACTTACATGAAGATCCACACCACACTTGCCGCGCTCGATGCTACCGCGCTGCGCCGTGAGCAATTGCACATACCCGTGCATTGCAGGGATGCGCGGGGATGTGAAATTGCAGAAGAGAGGTAATAGACCGGTGATTCATTATGCTATTGTACCAACATGGCGACTAGAGGACGTGAGAGACAAACCATAATCACTCCGGCCGTCTTCGTACAAGAGTACTTCGCCCAGAGATTGAACCTTCCCGTGCATCGCGAAGCTATGCACACTTTCTGCCCAACATTGTAAGAAGATCTGTGATTGCGCTGAAGTAATGGACCAGGGTTGCATCCTCGTACCAATATCTTGCGTTCATTATTCTACCTAGTGCTCTCCCTGCAAGCTTGATAATTCAGGTGTCAGGTATCAGGCATCACAATGCTAAACGCAGACGTTACATTACTGCCGCAAAGTTGCCACGAGAAGCGTTGTCGCGGACGGAAGTTTTGTGTGTGTGTGGCTGTGTCGAAGAGGCGAGGGGAATTCTTGAGGTGATAGGAGTATACCACCGATTCTTCAGCTTCTTCTTGCAGCAAACTTCCCTGAGGTCCCGGGCTATCTAAGTCGGGGATTGCTCAGTTGGCCGTCGGTTAATAAACCTGACTTGAATTTGATGGGACAAGCTTTGTGAGCTCGTCGGTGATACCTAAAAAGGTAAGAAGACGGTTAGCCTGTATGAGAGGCTTGAGGGGTCTTGTGTTGATGTGTTGTACGACGCGCCGTGCGTCGAAGTTCCTGGAAAAAAATAAAGGGAGGGATCAGTTGTTCCTTTGGTGGCGGAGGCGATAGAGCGTGGGAAACGGTTTCGAACAGCCTACGGTGGCTGTGCAGAGTCGATAGCGTCGATAGAGAGTCGATAGGGAAGCTGTCCAGGCACTCGAGTCCTGACAGAGAGAGAGTTTAGCAGACGACTGCTGAGTACTTTCGGGGGGAAACTGATTGATTGCTCATTCATGCCGATTCGGCTACATTTTATACTCCTTAGCTAGGCCAGCTTTCTGAGTCATATTAGTAATCCTAGCAGTGCTGAGTCAGCTTCTGACTCAGCCGAGTCATGATTTGTCATGTGCTGACTAAGATTGGGCACCGCTTAGTAATCCCTTTCCCAATATGGTCAAACTTTCCTGGGCCCGTTTAAGGTACATGCTTGGTCTATTCTACTTAGATTTTATACTACTACATAACAGAGAGGCTGCAGAATAGAAAT